TTACATTTAAACATAAAACAAAGAACATTATAAACATTTACTTGATATATATTAAAAACATTCATGTTAAATAAGAGTGGCCTTGAGTGAGTAAAACGATTTTTTAATTTACAAGACGTGCAATATGCTTCTGCTGACAATAAAGTGGCATTAGTTTATATTTATGGGAACTACCCCATTTAATATTAGCCTAATTAATATGAGTGTATAAAAGAGTAATATAGTTGTGTTTATGAATGTATACATCCCTCTGGAACTCCACAAGTTATATTTAGATAACCTTGTGAAGAAGATCCGTCGACAAAGGCAAATTGTTTGCGATGTATTAAATAGTTTTTTAGTAGTTTTAAAACATTACCGTTGATACCATAATGTTCAAGCTTTTTAAACAGTATGTCATGGTCAATTGTTTCAATAGCCTTAGATACAGTATTGGACAAAACATTTGCAGCCAACATCGAACAATGCTAAAAGGTGTTGCTAATTTTACAAGTTTTAAAAACGACCTATCTATACTACCACAGCAAACAGTTCCAAACTCTAGACTCCTGTCTGGAGTTATACCATGCAATGACATGAGCAATCACCTGACAGGTGACAGCACATAGGCAGAATTTCGTTAATAAGTGCCATTTTGCAGCGGACAAAACAAGAGCAACATTTTTTGTTTGTTTCATTTTCTTAAGTCTAGTCGTGTCAACGTCACGGAAGTTTTTTATTAATTGAAGGAAGTATCCAGAAGTTTCCAGAAGCATGCAGAAGCTTTCAGAAGTTTCCAGAAGAAGCATCTGGGAGCATCCAGAAGCATCCAGAAGTATCCAGAAACATTCAAAAGCATCCAGATGCATCCAGAAGCTTCCAGAAGCATCGAAAAGAAGCATCTAGAATCTTCCAGAACAGGTTCACACAGGTTCATTTTACTATAAAAGAGACATGTAAATCGACATGTAATTCAGTCAGTATTATCAAGACAGTTTATCAAAGTGTGTTTTATCAAAGTGTTTTATCGAAGAACATCAATACAAAAAGTGAAATACAACAAGTGTTTCATTACATCAATACAGTCTACATCCAACCAAGACATTGTGTTCCACAGAGTATTATTGTATCATCACAAGGTAAGTGTAACACGGTAAGCCTTGAGAAGCGTGAATATTTATTTTTATTATTTTTATGAATTCAAATGCAAAAATGGATCCAGAGAATTTTAGATTGGAACTAAGAAAAAAAACTAATGGCGATTACGAAATTGGAATGTTACAAAAAAAGTATATTTAATAAATATTGCGTGAAAAATGGACCGTATCAAGACTATGTTCCAAATATAGTTCTACGGGAAAGTTGGCACCAGATAACAATGGTGGAAGACCGCGTTCCACTACTTCTAGAGAGAATTCTATGATCGTCAGATCCGTCAAGAAGGATCCCTGGATATCATCAATCAAGATACAAAAGCAATTAGAGCTGCCTGTATCGTACCGAACAATCAGACGACGTGCTGTTGAAGCCAGATTGTTTTCTCAACGCCCTTAAAAAAAAGAAATCGCTGATTTCAATAAAGAACCAGAATAAAAGACTCCTGTTTGCTACATCTCATATTGACTGGAATATGCAGAAAAAGCGAACTGTCCTGTTCAGTGATGAATCGAAGTTCAACATCATTGGGAGCGATGGCATTTGCCGGGTACGTCGACCGGCCGGAAAACGCCTCGATTTACGTTACTGCCATAAGACCGTGAGTCATGGTGGAGGCAATGTAATGGTCTGGGGGTGTTATTCTGCTAACAGTCTAGGTCCAGTACATCTAATCGATAGAATAATGGACCGTTTCGTGTATAAAAACATTTTGAAAGATGTTATGTTACCTCATGCTGAATGGAATATGCCAATAAAATGGGTTTTTCAGCAATGCAACAATCCGAAACACTGCAAAGGTAGTCAAGCAATAGTTTCAAGACAACCACCTATTGGTGATGGATTGGCTTCCTCAATCTAAGGATCTCAACTCTATCGAGAACCTGTGGGAGATCGTTAACCACAGAATGAATCGTGAAGGTGTTCGTAATAAGGATCAACTGTTTAAACAAATTCAAAAGACCTGGGCAGCGATTCCACAAAGTTTCATTGATCACCTGATTGAATTTACGCCACAAAGATGCAAGGCTGTGATTGAAAACAAAGGATTAGCCACGAAATATTGATAGCAAAAGACAGCTTGGTCAATTTTTTGTGGAGTTGCACTTGTTTTGTGAGACAGAAATAAACTTTTTTTTAATACTTTTGATTAATTTATTACTTTTTGTTTACAAATAATGAACTTTGTGATGAATAAAACATAAAGAACGTTGTCTTTAAACAGTTACATAGTTATTTCTTTAAATTGAAAAAATGCAGCACTTTTATATAAAGACACTAAATTAGCATTATTTGGTTGAACTTGTTTTGTACGATTCTGCAAGTCTATAAAGACGCCTAAAGTAAACTCTGACTTTTCGAATAATTCAGTTATACTACAAGTAAGATGAACTATTGCATGTTCAGTAGAGTTGTTTCTTTTAAAACCGTATTGATTTATGCAAAGTATATTATTAACAGCAAGATGATAAGATATTTGGTTGAACATAATTTTATCTAAAAATTTTTAAAAAACGGAAAGGATTTATTACTATATAAGAATACATGTCGTATACATGACAATATTGATATAAGAATACATGAATTATACATGACAATATCGAGGTTAAAGTTAGAAGCGTGGAAAATTTAGGTATCAACTATGTACTTTAAATATGTACGGACCTTTGCTAATAACTAATATAATGCAAAAAGTTCCAGAAGAATTAAATTTATTTATTGCTAAAAACTTTGATTTCAGTTATAATTAGGACATAAAGTATGTTTTAAAATCATTCAAATCTGAATTACAAGGTAGGAAAAAAGCGCAATCAGGTCTAGAGGGTCAATTTAATCCTTCAACAGCAAAAGTACTACACTCTAGTGCTTCTTTTAAGCCAAAATACGAGTTAAAATGTCGTTTTTGTACTTAAAATCACAAAAGTGAAAGTTGTAAAACTGTAACAAATATAATCTCTAGAAAAAATATTTTAGGAGAAAGAAGGCGTTGTTTTAATTGCCTAAGGTCCAGTCATTTGTCAATAATTGTCGTTCTAGTATCAGCTGTTTTGAGTGCTCAGGTAAACAATATGTGTCTATGTTTTTTAAAAAGTTTCCTTCACATATCAATGATAACAAAGAATCAAACATTAATTTGACATTTGTACTAAAGCATTAAAATCTAAAAATTTATTATTGCAAACTGCCATGGTTACTGTTAAAAATACGGATAGCATACTGAGATAACGTATTTTATTTTATAGTTGTTCTCAGCTAAATTATGTTTCCCCATCATCACGAAAAAAGCTTTTTCTTCTGACAATAGGTAGAAAGCGAATAAACATTAAAACTTTTGGCAATCAGAGCCAAATACAGACTTTAGATATGGTTTAAATTTCTATACTGACTTTAAAGGATTCTTTAGCATTTATAACTTGTTTCGTTAAGTCCATATGTGCTCCTTTTAGTGGTCAATTTATAAAGAAAGTTGCTGATTTCATTAAACATTTTGAAGGTATTACTTTAGCAGATAGCAATGTTGATCGTAAGTTCATGGAAGTTTATATACTAATTGGAGCAGACTATTATTGGTCATTTTTTAATGGCAAGGTAAATACAGGTCCTGTTGCTTTGTAGTCATCAGTTGCGTGACAATACAGGTCCTGTTGCTTTGTAGTCATCAGTTAGCTATATATTAGGTGGAAATGTCAATACATCATGTGGAAAAGATTGTTTTGTCTTTTTCACACATACTTTAGAAGTTGAAGCGGAATTCGTTAATGAAGTTTCCGAGTTTAATAACAAAATTAAAAAGTTTTGGGATTTAGAGAATTCAGGAGTTAAGGATAATTTTGTTGAACATTTTAAAAACAATATTTATTTTGATATCAAAGAGTGCAAGGGCATTGCAATATTGGGTGGTAATTAGACTTTATGCATAAAGCGTTTATATGCAATTCTTAAAAAATAAAGAATAATCCTGAGCACTTAAATGAATATAATGAGATAATCATAAACCAATTAAATTCTGGTGTAATAGAGAAAGAAAATAGTTATGATTCGAGCATTGGGGATGTGAATTATTTGCCACATCGCCCAGTGTGTAAAGATAAAACTACATCAAAAGTAAGAATTGTTTTTGATGCAAGCTCCACCTTATCAGGTGCATCATTAAATGATTGTATAAGTGCTCGACCAAGTTTGGCGACCCTTTAATTTTTTATATTATTACGATTGCCCTTGATAAAAATGACAGAGATTATATACGTCTAATATGTTTCGATGATATTTAAAATGTTAATAATAGTAAATTTTTATCTGCATTAGCTACATATCTTCCTAATGCCACATTAACCTATCATGCTGAGAGGTATTGTCTCTCTGATAAAAATTTTTTCACAAAGTTTTTACAATCCTTGCATATAGACTATTCTAGCCGCAATAATATAGAAGAAGATGTTTTACTTTTTAATAATTGTAAGAACATATTAAAGGAAGAAGGTTTTAACTTGAGAAAATTTGAGTCTAAGTCTTCAGTATTTAAAAAGCAGATTAAAGGTGAAAATGCTGAAAGGAAATTATATACAAAAGTTTTAGGTCTTAAGTGGAATAAGACAAAGGATTCAATAACTTATTTATTCGAGGATTTGTTAAATACAGCCTTAATAATTTCTACAAAGAGAAAAGTGATGAGTTTCATTGCTAGTATATATGATACAATAGGTCTTATACATCCAATAGTTGTAACATGCAAAAATTTATTTCAAAAAAACTGTATTGGTAAACTAGGTCGGAATGAAAAATAGTTTAGAGATTTATTGTCTGCTTGGAACCTTATTTTAAGTGATTTCAAAACTTTTTTCCAAATAGCAGTACCGCGATAGTATATGAGTCCTGGGTTGGGTAGTATGAATAATGTAAAATTCGAGTTACATGGTTTTACTGATGCAAGTGTAAAATCATTTGGGTGTTGTGTTTCTGTTAGATTTCTTAATGCTAATTTTAGTCGCTTTAGTCGTGCCTATTTAATAGCTTCAAAGTCTAGGGTTGCCCCATTAGGCAAGAACACAATGCCTAAATTAAAACTTTCTGAAGTTTTACTATTAGCAAAGTTAATAGCATCTATTTACGATCAATTGATATCTATTTATAACATTTCAAATATAGTATATTGGACTGATTCACTAATTTGCTTACATTGGATTTACAATACTAATAATACCAAGAAACAGTTTATACAAAATCGATTAACTAAAATAAGAAAGTTATTTTTAATTTGTAATTGGAACTATATTGAATCATATAGAAATCCTGTAAATAAAATATCAGGAGGATCATCACTAAAAAAATTAAATAATAATTTACTTTGGTTTTTTGGACCCAACTTTTTAAACGATATTAGCATTAAATGGCCATAACATGTTCATAACATGTTAATCATTCGGATGAAACTTTCAATGTTTTATGAAATGTGGCACATGCTAAGTTTAAGGTTAATCTTGAATTTAATAGTATTGATATATTTAGTGATTTTAGGTACTTACTTCAAGTAACGTCGTGGATTCTTCGATTTATCAATAATGCAAAAAATAAAAAGAAGAACACCTGTAAGACAGGCTCAATAACAGCCTAAGAAACGGATAAATCGGATTAAATTTTCACAGATAAATCTAGCCGATGAAATTAGTCTCAAAAAGCTACGTAAAGGTTTACGTTTGTTTGTTGACAACGGAATATTTCGATGCCAACGCAGAATTGATAATGTTGATTTAGAATACGACAAAAATTTCATATATTTTTATTTAATAATTGTTATTTTGCTAAATTTTTTAGTTTTACATTTTCATAAGCTTTTCAAGTACAATGGTTTGAAAGAAATAGTTAATGCTTTAAGATCCCAGTATTGGACACTGTGTTGTAGGCGATAAGCAAAGAGGGTGATACGAGAATGTACAAATTGTCGCCGTATAGAGGGAAATCCTTATTCTTATCCACCTGCTCCTCCTTTACTAGAAAGTCGTTTAAACTCTGATTTTGCTTTTTATTGCGTGTTGCATTAGCCGTTTAATTTTATTAGATTTAGTAGCTGACTGTTCATCTAGATTGTGTATTATGGGTATTTGTTAAATTATTGAAAGGCAGGGTGTTCCAAAAATTGTTTATTCTGACATTGTTTCTCAATTGGCTTCATTTGAACTCAATCATTTGTTGCAAACCATTCTATTAAATGGATTAGTGGGGAGGTTTTTCGAGCGACTAGAACGAATGACATAACGATGTTTAAAAAAAGTCTTAAAGACCTGAAATCTTCTTATGAAAAAATACTAAAATTACTTTCTTAAAATAAAAAAATACTAAACCACCGACCATTAACGTCTTTATATAACAACCATGGTAATAAAGCACTCTCTCCCAATCACTTAGTATTTGGAAATAAAAGGTTTGAGACTAATCTTAATGCTTGTGATGAGATAGAACAATGTGTGCATATACGAAACAATACGTTAGCTAATATGTTGAATTATTTTAGAAACAGATTCAAAAGTGAGTACTTGACAGAGTTTTGTGAATACCATGTTGATATTCATGCGTGAATACCATGTTGGCATTGATGCGTGAACATAATGTTGGTCATCATGTGAATACCATCTTAGTACCATGTGAATAATGGTTGTAATAATATTAGTGTTTATGAAATTGTATAAACTGAAAGCAATAACTGCAAAAGACAATTATGGAAGTTAGCACGTGTTGAAGTAGTGATAAATTCTAGCGATGGAGTTGTTTGCGTTGCTAAGGTTTGTTACATACAAGTAGGTAATAAATCGTGTATAGTTAATCGGCTCATTAATAAAGTATATCCTACTGACTATTTTGACAAAGAAAAAATTGTAACTGTCACCTTCGTAAACGAGAAGAGTATTTCTTTATTCTTCAATAGTGGAGTGTTGTAGCCTATTCGGCTTCACGCGAATAAACTTTTGGTTTGAACTATTTCCCACTCTGCAATGCTTGTTTCACCATGCTCTTAGTTTTTAGTTGATATTACTTCTTATGTATATTCTATATAAACTCTTCTTCATATTTTATAATATATGATTCTAACCAAATAAGTATCTTTATAATTACGTAAACCGTTGAGTAAACTAAAGTACTCGAAAAAAGAAAGCAACCAGTACTTCTAATTATTGCCAAATCACTATATTGCTCATTCTTTTAAAGTTTAAGAGAGAATTTTATATAATTTTCATAAATTCATAATTTTCAATTATTTATCTTTAAACAATTTACAATATCAAAATCAGTACAGTTATAAAAAAAGTAACTCAGCAGAACGCGCGATACTCAAATTTTCCCGCAGTATTGCTGAATCATTGATAAATCCCAATATACGTTGAGAAATTTTATTGACTTATCAAATCCTTTAATACAATTAATTAGAAAACTCTTTTTAAAAAAAATTAGAATACTATGAAATCAAAGGCAGTGGCACAGTGGTTAAAGTTTTGAGCAGCCGTCGCGTAGTGGTTAAAGTTTTGGCTCAGAACCCAGATGTCCGAAGTTCGACGCCAGCTCTAGCCCAACAAGCGACATTGGTACGGAATGAGGCGTGAACTTCCTGTTAAATGCTCTCCCGCGGTGCTCTATGATATGACCGTAAGGACATCTGGGAGCACCTAAATACATACAAAAAACAAACAAAAAAAAACAACAAAAAAAAAACGTGTTTATGCTACTTAAAAGTTATAAAAGCTGTAAACTGTTTGTTGATTGTATTCCAACTGCATCCTCCAATTTACTTTATTTAACTTATGCAGTCTCTTAGGGCTCTTTACTAGGACCTCTTCTTTTTCTTATTTAGATTAATGAGTTTCCTAAAACCACTAATTTAAAAACCTTTATGTTTGATTATGATGCTAATCTCTTTTCATCATTGCATTAAAATAAAAACATTGAGTTAACAAAATTTGTTACTAGTTTTTTTTTTTTTTTTTTTTTTTTTTTTACAACTATTTTTGTCATATTTATAATAAATTATTGACAATATATACATTTGAAGTTAAGATATGACAGGCAAAACTCTTATCATCCAGCCCCTTTGTATCATTTACATATCAAACCAAAAAAAATAAAATAAAAAATAAAAAATTACCCATCATATAAGAAAATATATACATCCTTATACACACATACACATACATACACGTACACATACATACATATACATATATACACATGCACATACACATAAACACATACACATGTTTATATATATATATATGTTACAATCTCAGTAAAATAATATTAAAACTTTTTTTTTTTTTTTTTTTTTTTCTCCTAAATACAATACAAATATAAAGATAAGTAATGATATAAAGTGTAATGCCGCTTTTTAAACAAAAAGAAAAGTTAATGAAATAAAAATAGGAGAGGACAAAATAAAAATTAGAAATAAAATAATATTTGAGATACGTCTTAATCAAGTAACTGTTTTTTTAAGATACTTTCAAAAGTTTGGATTGAAGCTGTAGTTTTACTATTATTTAGGAGAAATGAGCTCCACAAATGTGGCCCTCGGTAAATTATTGAGAATTCAGATTGTTTTAACAAAGTTTTTGGTACCTGATAAAGAGCAATTAATGCTTTGTATGATATTTATAAAGAAATATCTTTGTATGATATTTATAAAGAAATAATAAAGAAAAGGTCTTCAAAAATGTTAGGTACCATATGATTTTTTAATCTAAACATGAATAGAGGAATATTATAGATAATTAATTGGTAAACATTCAGTACTCCAAGCTTACGAAGCAGTGGATTGGCACTGGCGTATTTATTAACATTTAATATTAGGCGGCTTGCCAGTTTTTATTTTTTTAAGATACAAGTTAGTCTTGACGGATAAGTGCTTGTCCAAGCAATGTTACAATAACTAATATAGCTATGAATAAATGAAAAGTAAATAGATTTTAAACAGTTTTTATCCAACATATATCTAGTTTTATACATGATTCCAATACTTTTTGAAATTTTATTTTCTATTAGAATAATATGCTCTTTCCAATTTATTTGCTCATCGATTAAAACGCCTAAGAATTTAATGCCGTATGTCCGTTGTAACTTGGTTTTTTCTATTAAAATATCCGGGAGTTTTAAAGGCAGTGTTTCAGATTTAGAGGATTTAGAAAAGAGAGTATATTTGCTTTTAGTAGGATTCAGAGAGAGTTTGTTGGCTTTAAACCATTTATTAAGGTTATCAAGTTCACTATTCATAGTGGTAAAGATTGTCTTAATGTTAAAGTGAGTATAAAAAACTTGAGTTTTTTCATCAGCAAAAAGATTAAAGTTTAGTATACTAGATGATAAGTAAATATCGTTGATATAAATAATAAACAACAAAGGCCCTAAAATAGATCCCTGTGGAACTCCGCAGGTAATGTTTTCTAATTTAGAGTAGGTTTTGTCATAAGATACGCATTGTTTGCGATTTTTTAGATAGGAACAAAACCATTTAAAATTATTATTTTTGATTCCATAAATTTCAAGTTTGTAAAAAAGAATATCATGGTCCACAGTATCAAAGGCCTTAGAGAGGTCAATAAACACCCCAAGAGTATATTGGTTGTTTTCAAACCCATTTAATATTTGTTTAACTAATTTAATTACTGCATGTTCTGTCGAGTGTTCTTTTCTAAATCCGTACTGATTATTATTTAAAACTTTATAAGTTGTGAGATAGTTGTAAAGCCTATTATGCATTATTCGCTCTAGAATTTTAGAAAAACATGGGAGTATTGAAATAGTTCTGTAATTAGATAACTTTGAGATATCACCATCCTTAAATATTGGAACTACTCTCGCTAGCTTCGAGAGATCAGGAAAAACGCCATTTTTAAATAAAAGATTAAAAATAATAAGTAAGGGGTTCTCAATAATATAAAAAACTTCATTAACAACCTTAGGGCTTATACCATCAAGGCCTGCGCTTTTGTTTGGTTTTATCATATTAAAAGCAAACCGAAGTTCATCAGGCGATACCTCAAGCTCATCCATTAAAATGAATTTATAATGAATAAGTTTAAAATGAATAAATTATTACTTAATATTGATAAAACAAAACTGAAACTTTTTCATCCAACTTCTAAAAAATATTACTGCCTTATGAAATGCTTGTTCTTTTTATAGGCAAAATGCAAATAAAAAAAGGAACGTATACTAATTTTTTAGGTGTCCATGTTGATAAAAACCTTAGCTTGAAATATCACATTGAATTTTTGTGCAACTAAGTTGCTTAAAAGAATAGGAATAATGTTTAAAGCAAGTGATTTTTTAAATAAACACATTTTTACATAACTATATTTCTCTTTTATCCATTGCCATATAAATTATGCAAACATTTTTTTGAGTAATACCAATAATTGTAAATTGTTACCATTCTATCGTCAATAAAAGCATGTTGCTCATACCAAGTCTCTCTACTTTGAAATGAAAATTCCTAATACTTATCATATTACATAACATAATTTGTTTTACTACATAATACATAACATACTTTGTTTTACGTACGAATTTTTAAAATTTTAATGAAAAACTAACGCATATCTTCCTTTTTTTCCATAATCAATACATTTTATAAAATATAAAAACAAACAAAACTTATGAAAGAATTCAACAATCTTTTTTTCAAACAAATTTTGGAAAGTTTAGTATTTCATTTTGAGGAGTTTTTCTTTAGAACAGAATAGTTTTGAAAAACTTTGGTTTTTCATTCAAATAGAATTACCCTTTATTAAATAAAAAACTAAAAGAAATATTTTTATCTATTGACACGTTTTTATATTTTTAACACTTTTATGTCAAATCACTACTTAATACATATATTATTTAAAATATGTTTGTTTATCAGATACTAATCTTATGCTTTTATGAAAATAGTTTTTTAGATAGTATATTTAGGTAAACTTAACAAGTTCTTACTTTTTTTTTGTTATATTCTTATAAGTTTTTTTTAATATTTTTCTGGTTTATTGTTATTATCTAGATATTTTGTTATTTCTAGAAATTTTTCGCGGTTTTCTGCAGAGATTTAAAGAAGAACTGTTATTTTTAAGTCTCTGCATTTTCTATTTTTTATTTTTATTGATATACATTTTTTTTTATGTATTGCATGAAGATAAGCAATATACGTAAAATGAAATTAAAAAAAAAAAAAAAAAAAATTCTAACTCAGCTTCTTAAGTTTTCTTTAACTGACTTTCACAAATATTTATTTAGTTTGTCCTGAAACTCGTTTTTTTAAGACAAGATTGATAAAATAATTACTAAATGGAAAAATGATCAACATGTCTTTTAACAAATATCCGTTTAAAACAAGTTTTTAGTTAATATTCCAAAAAAAAGAAACACCAGTAATTTTAGTTTATGGAATTGCAAATACGTTTTAATTAAATACAAATATTTATATTTTAGAAATTTTTTAACTAAATGCACAAAAATGTTTTTAATAAAAACACGAATACAAATAAGCTAAGTTAGCCTACTTTTACGAAATAAATTTGCATTTTTGAGCCCAATCCAGCCGAAAATATTTAAAATTTACATGACTTATGCTTCAGTAATGCTTTGAAATGTGATATTACTTTAATCAATAATATCCACAAACACCTTGATTACAAATTTTTGTTTGACATGATTCATTTTGGCTCTAACATATGCATTACTATACAAAATACTTTGGAGATTTTATATCAAACAATATGATTAGAAGGACTTTTTAAAAATATATATTTTTAATGTTTGGTGAAAATTTTATTTTTTAAAAATTCGGCTTAATCAAAATTATATCAAATTCAATTTGCCTTACAAATAAGTAATATAATGCGTATCAAAAATAATGTATTTTTGCTTTTATACATAAATAAAGACAAAATTATACGCATACACGCATGTATTAAACAAACATACGTATCTGTATAACGACGCATATCTTTATGATTTTATCTGTATAAAACAAATATTTATAAATTTTTTTTTTAATATTTTTTTTTTCAGGTGCCCCAAAAAGACCTAATGATCTTGTAAAAGAGCAACGCGGAAGTGCATTCAACCCGGAAGTTTACGCCTCCTTCCTTACGGTGACGCAAAAATATATACAGAGCTCGTTTCGAACCTAGATCACCTGTTTATAAAGCGAGCGCTCTAACCATTGCGCCGCTACAGCACAAGTAAATACGATATTTTATTTATTATTATATATATAAGTATGATATTATATTTTTTATAGCTAACTCATCATAAAAGTAAACTTATTTGTGTTTTTTTTTTTATATATACTTTTTTTTAATATTATAGAAATATCTTCCGATTGCAATTGTAACTGCAGGGTCTAGCATAAATAGATTCTGATATTATTAGCCTTCCGATAACCAAACTTACTCCATCTGCAAACCGATCAGAGACATAAAAACGCGTTTTTTTATCGCTGACATTTTATAACTGCCGTCTAGATTTTAACCTGTTGACAGCTAACTGCAGGGTGTAATGAAGAGAAGTTAATACGACTGCATAATTACAAGTCAGAACAACCATTGAGAATTAATAATATTAGTGATCAGTAGAAGTGACAAATGTGGCTCTAATTAATTTTGAAGCAAAGAAACAATATCTTAACTTCTAAGGAAATTTTTTTAGATAGATTACAATGTGCGTTTAATAACAAGCATTATTTTAAAAACAAGTTTCTGAATTATTAAATGATTAAGTATTGACATGTTAAGCACATGTTTGCTACAATTGGATTTAACTTAGTTTTAATAATATACCGAAAAGGAAATATTTTAAAGCTAGCTTACTACCTCCTATGTTGCACAGATCATGACGTCAGCTTCTTTTCTATTTTTATAATAAACTAATTTTTGTATGCGATTAAAATATGAAATCATTACATTCACTAGATTCTAATATATTATTAAGTTTTTCAAGTTATTTACTTTTTTCTGATTTGGAATGAGAAATTTAAAAAAAATACATAATTGAATAATTATATTTAAAGAATCATTCTTTAATGACAATAGGAATGACAAATACGTTTTTGTTGATTTTTAATGTTGTATATTCAACATTACTTGAGTAATTGGTTAAATTAAAAAAGAGCTTCAAACTAATACGACAACAGCTATTAACAAACTTTTTTTGTATTTTATTATATATAAAATTATATTTGGTTCAAAATATTTAGTTACTTTTATTTTAGAATTTATCAATAAATATATGAGTGCATTCGATCTATGAATTATACATTTTTTTTTCATTTAGTTATAATATATATATATATATATATATATATATATATATATATATATATATATATATATATATATATATATATATATATATATATATATATATATATATATATATATATGAATATATATATATATATATATATATATATATATATATATATATATATATATATATATATATATATATATATATATATATATATATATATATATATATATAAACTTTTTCTAGGCAATATGAATTTTTTGGCATCTTTAATTATGATTTCTATAACTCAATTTTCAGTTCAAATTTCAAACGGTAATCTTCTTCTTTTATTTTATAATTACTTATATTGTTTTAATTTTTTTGTTGTTCAAAAAAGAAAGTTTAAATACTTGTTTTACATATTTTTTTAAATGTTATTTTTTAATTGAATAAATTTTCAAGTATATTTTTTTTTGTTTTTTAAATGATTTTTTAACTGTAAAACTCACTCTATATTGTTACTTATGTCGCCATTTTGTCGCTAAGGATCGTGCATAAATTGCGCAACACTAAATCTATTAAAAAAGTAGATGTTTGAAATCTTACGCTTTATTACGCGGCAATTTTCATTAACTTTAATGCAATATTTATGTTTAACCTAAGTTTCTGCGAGGAAAACCTTTTTGATCTTTTTTGCTTTGTTTATGAGTAAAAGTTAGCGTCACAATTCTCTACCCAATTTTTTCTTGTGTGTATATTATTCTAAATATTAATGATATTAATAATGTTGTCTAATATTGCTCACTAAAAGCTGTCTCAACAAATGCAAATTTAATTTCAGTTAACTCCGTCTATGTTGTTTGTTAATGCGTTTTTGATCAATAATTCAGACATTGATTGCCGAGAAGAATATTAGTCTTAATAAATTTAAAATTAAATTAAAGCGATATTTAAAATTAAATGTTATTGATATTTATAACTATATGAAAGCGTTGTTACAATCAAACTTTGATTTTTTTTTTTAAAAGTTTCTTTCAAAATAGATCAATAAAATAAAAACATTTAAAACACTAAGTTAGGTAAAAAACAGTGTAACTAACAGAGGATCGTCCGTAAATTACGTTGCGCTTTAGCAGAGGAAGGAGGTAGGTGGAGAGGGAAGAAGTTTGTGACAACTCATACGAAATTAGCTTCTAAAGAGTTACGATATTGTGACGAGGAGGGTGAGCGGGTACAAAATAGTCAACAGTTACGTGACATAATTTGTGGACAACCCCATAATATAACCCTAAATTCAATGACCCTGTAAGTGTTAAATAATTACTGACATTATCATGATCATTATCAAAATCATTATCAGTAATCTTTTTTTTAACTTTTTGGTTCATTCTTTTTCTTTTTTTTTCAGTTTGCTTGTTTGAATCTATCTTATTTCTTAGTTTATATTTAATACTCTTGGAAAGTATTTTGTAGAAAAAATAAATTGTAACACGGTTACAATTTATTTTTTCTACAAAATAAATTGTAACTTGGCTATATGACAAAAACAATGTCTTTTGCTTCGGCTATTAAGCTAAGTTATAAATTTATATAAGTTGTAAAACGGCAAAATATTATGCTCAAGTGAAAGGTGACATTTGTGTAGGTAAAGTTGGAACACAGTGGATTGAAGGGCACAGTGAATATAAAGCAATTTCTCAAAGAATAAAAATTTGTTTATCTTAGCAATGTTATCATTTTATTTCCTCATAAAATTTGCTGCCACTAAATATTTGACTATCAGTAATTTTTGTTTTTAGCAAACTATAGTAAATTTTTTACCTTACTTATATTTGTTATGGAAATCAGGGTTGAAATAATTTCAAAAGTTGAAGTTTTTTATTTAGATTATTGATATTAATGCTTCCTTTTAGTAGTTTAACTTTTCTTTTGTCAACACTCATGTTCCAATAAATTAGACATAAACTTATTTTTCTATGGAGGGGCACTGTAAATTTGGGTACAGTGAATTCATTATGTCCAATGAATGATCTTAAAGAATAAAATTATGCATTTTTTTCAAACAAAATATATGAAAATGAAATTATTAGTTTTAAGTTTTGAATATTAATATTTAGTTAATTTTTTATTTTTTTAATAATTTGATAAGTTTTGTTATCAATAAAGTTCTTCTTTTATCTCCTCAATTTTTAAAATGTCTATTTTTTCCGATATTACACTAATCTAATTGATAAAAATATGCCAAAACTTTAGTGTAGAGTGTCTTATGCTTCATATTTATTGGCTATGCCCCTATTCATTATTATTAATTCGCAGCTGTACTTATTGATTCACAGTGTCCCAGAACTGGGGCACAGTGAATAACGTAACACAACTTGCTCTAAACTTTTCTGTGAGCTGTTAGATAATAAATATTTAGGTTTTAGTGTTTTATTGTCATGAAAATCATATCCTTATTATCATGAAGAAAATATCTCAATCGTTTTGCTAAAAATTAGACTTTTTTTTAAAAAAATTAGATACGTATTTTAACTTTTCCATAATTTAAAAAATAAAGAAATCTGGTCCATTGTGACCCAACTTCTCCTATCGGCTTTAAATATTGTACAAGGAGTTTAAAAAAAATGACTTTTTAAAATTTTAACATTTTAAAATATTAACATTGCTTTTTATATGATGCCCCACCATCAATATTGCAAAAAAAATTTCCAACAATGAACAATGTGTCTTTCATACACATGATGTCTGCATGCTAATAGAAGTAAAGGCCTGTCAACCTCATTAGCTAGTTTAATGCATACTCCTTTCTGTTTACCAGTGTTAGAATTAGTATTATCAAAAACACATCCGTCAAACTTGCTCGTAATTTCAAATTGACCAAGAAGTTCCGAGATGCTGTTTTCTGCTCCTCTTCTGTACATGAAGTTAGAGGTGGAATACCAAGTAGCTCTTTCTGTTCATTTATCCTAATTAACACAGCAAATCTGTGATATTGCAATTGTTTCCCATCAGTGATTTCTTTGAAAATCTTGCTATCAAAGTGCAGAATTATAGGGGATACTGATGACTGCGCAAGAGTAGAAATATGTTTTCAAATCTTCTCTCCTTACTTGTTTAAAACCTCTTCTACAGCTCCAAATGATGTTGCGCTAGATACAACAAAATTTGCCACAGAACCTCCAGAGTTTGTAATGATACTGTACACAATTGCAGTATGTTATCTAGCAAACAGTCCCTCTGAAATAATTAAAGGAAAGAAATAATTGGAATAAAAGATAAAAGTTTTTGATATGCCGTTGAAAGATCACAGAAGAAACAATTGACTACCAAGAATAGTAATGGAAACACTTCAAATGATTTTAACATTTCACACAGCTCTGCAAGTAGTCATGATAGTAATTTTGATTCAGACTTTAAAGCAGATATCAAGAAAGAAGAGTCTGGCTGATTGATTCTCCTTCCAAATACTAATTCTAACACTGGTAAACAGAAAGGAGTATGCATTAAACTAGCTAATGAGGTTGACAGGCCTTTACTTCTATTAGCATGCAGACATCATGTGTATGAAAGACACATTGTTCATTGTTGGAAATTTTTTTTGCAATATTGATGGTGGGTCACCATATAAAAAGCAATGTTAATATTTTAAAATGTTAAAATTTTAAAAAGCCATTATTTTGAAACTCCTTGTACAATATTTAAAGCCGATAGGAGAAGTTGGGTCACAGTGGACCAGATTTCTTTATTTTTTAAATTATGGAAAAGTAAATATGTATCGAATTTTAAAAATTAAAAACATATTTTAAAACTTGAAAAACAAACATATATATATATATATATATATATATATATATATATATATATATATATATATATATATATATATATATATATATATATATATATATAATTAAATACATTCATACTTACATACATACAATCATACATACATTTAATAAATTTAGAACAAAATATACTGACTGACATTGCTTTATTTTTATAAAAGATTCTGCTTTTATTATTTTTGTGCATTAGGTTTGTGTCTGAAGGTAAAATTTTTTAACATCAGTTAAGTTCTTATAACAAAAATGTCACAACACAGCTTGCACCAGAAAAGGAAAGTTAAGTTAAACCTTCCAAACACTTAAAAAAGAATTTTTAAAAACTTGCAATTTTCAATTACTAAAATATTATTTGCATTTTGTTTTTTGAACTTAACTTTGTCCATTGTAGTCTAGATTCTTTGTTAAATTAAAAAAAAATGTAAAGAAATTTTGTTTTCTTTTTTTAAAAAACAACTTATATATTTATATAAACTTATAAAAACATATGGATATTAATAAATCTTAAGTTAAAGTATAGTCTTGCTTAGAATAGATCACAACTCCTAAAATTCTTTAACGTTCATTTATTCGTTTGTTTTTTTTATAATCATTTTTTTTTAATTATTCTGGAGACATTAATATAGCCTTATGCTTTGCGCTATTATTGCTATGTTTTGTGTTGATAGAACAAGGCTGTTATATTATTCTAATTCTACTAACAAAATGCAAATAATATTTTCAGTATTTAAAAATTGTACTTTTTTTAATTTCTTTTTTCAGTATTTGGCAGGCTTAACTTGACTTTCCTTTTCTGGTGCCTGATATGTTGAGGCATTTTTATTATTAGAACTTAACTGATGTTAATGCATTCTTTTTTTGCCTTTAACTATAAGCAATAACATAGCTTAAACCTAAAATATTTAGAAATACAAAATTTTATTTGAAAATTATATTTAATTTTCTTTTTTAGATAATATAGTATATCAAGTTATTAATGTGCTTTTACAATGATTTAATTACTTATAACCAATATTACGGGTTGCTTACTGCTAGTTGAAATATGATTTCATGAGTTCATGTGAATATTAGCATAAACGAATTTATTGAATAAATAAAATAGTAAAATTTACTATAACTCAAATACAAGGTTGACTTGATAATTACACAATTGATAAAGGTCCGTTATGCGGCTAGTCGCAGCTGGCTGAAGAGCAACAAAACACATATTTGTATACACATTTATTAACAGGCATGCCAGCGTTAGTTAGTAAGTCGCAATACACTGTCGTTTTAGAAGCACAAAACTATAGCTGACATTTAGAGGTTCATTTGATTTTGCTCATCGGTTACTGAATGGACCAATAATGGCAGCTAAAAATGACAAATCTACAACTTTTCTAAAATTAATAGTAGCTAATCATTAGCTAGCCACATAGCGGTTGCCACAAATGGTCCACCAAATATCTGATAAGTAAATATTTATTAGTTCACTCAAAATGTCTATATATG